CGCACCCAGAAATATAATTTATGCTATCGTGCCGAAAGTGTCCGTCTGCTATGTACATTGGACAAACGTCTCAGACACTTCGCCAAAGGATTAATGCCCACAAAACAGATATCAGACAGGATCACAAAGAAAAAACAATTTCTTGTCATTTCAACCAGAAAGGACACTGTCTCAACGACTTAACTACCTGCATTCTACTACAAAGACCTTTTACATCTGCACTTGAAAGGGAATCCTCTGAACTGTCATTCATGCTAAAATTCGACACTCTCCGGGGGATTGAACAAAGACCCCAACTACCTTACCCATTACAAAGATAGCTTCCCCAATTATCACCTCTAATACCATTAGCTCACAGACATCTACCTTTCCCCACCTCTAATATCATTAACTCACAGACACTTACCTTCCTTTCCCCTCCCCCCGTATCCCCCTTCTGTTCTGAAATGTGATTTGTCCTTTTCATATGTGTTCTTTTTTTTTTTAATTGTATCCTTTGGTATATATGGTTGTGTCTGTTTTCTTCCACTATTTGATCTGAGGAAGTGGGTCTGGCCCACGAAAGCTCATCATCTAATAAACCATCTTGTTAGTCTTTGAAGTGCTACATAATCCTGCATTTTGCTTTTTATCACAGTTTTAAGTAGCCACATTTGTAGAGAAGAGCATCATTTAATGTTTTCTTGTGTAGAACAATATGCAAGGTAAGTGGGGGCAAAGCTAGGTATTCTAAAGGAGAAGATACTTAACACTGATGCCATACTTTATAAAGTGCAGTCAGGAAAAATGACTAACATGAGACTGAGACCTGTTGTATATTCTCTCTTAATTGAATCTGGATCAGATTTTCTCAGTTTACACATTGAGTGAAATTTACCACTGTGCAGAGGCACCTGCACCACTGAAACACAATTGTGAGATCTGTGGGACATACATAGGCCTTGTGTGTGGCGGGCCCTTTGCATAAGTGTGAATTTCTCCCTGAAAGAGGATCTTCTGTGGGCTGGCTTCAAAACTCATTCTGAGAGCTGAAAATCCAGCTGGGCTTTTTCTGCTTCTTGCATCAGTAGCAGCATAGCAGCAATGAAGGAGCATAGTTTTGATCTCTCAATGAAAGAAATAGTATTTCCCCACTAATACGTTAGGCACTAACATACTGTGGAGATAAGCAATGAGAGACACAGATTAGCTATGAATGACACAAATTATGGCTCACTCCCTCATAATTTACAAACAATGAGGAGTCCTGTGGCACCTTAGAGACTAACCAAAATATATGAGCTTTTGTGGACCTCAGAAGAATTGGAGTGGTGATAACAGAAAGCAAGATATATATATAGATAATAAAAACAGCAGAAGTACCAGTCTTCATACTTGTGTTTGTTCTGCAATGCTTAAAGGCAATCAAAGTCAGACATGGGAAGCAGAGATGAAGGATAATAGGGTTCTATTTTTGTGATTTCTGGCTGTGTTTTTGTGCTCAAAGCTCTGAGTTTCTGGATCATCCGCAGCAGCCTCTTTTCTTCTTAGGTGGCTTTGGTACATCCACCACTTCTGTTTTTAATCTGTCTTCGTGAGCTTTCAGTGACCTGGCATGATCAACATGAAACAAATTAGCCAGTTAATTACTGTGTTATTTTGAATCTACATCCTCATCTGTCTTGGAAAGCCCTACCAACGGGTAGGCTGGGGTGTTTTTTCAAAAGCTCTGAAAAGAGTTGCATGCCTACCTCCCACATCAGTTGAATAGAATTTGGCTCCTTTAGCTCTATTGAAGATTCCAACCTCAGTAAAGTCGCAGCCTAAACCATGGGTGGGCACTGAGTGGCTTGTGGATGTCTGCAGTTTGCCAGGATTAGCTCCTGGTGTGCTGGCACTTTACTTTCATGTCTGCAGGTACAGCTGCTTGCAGCTCCCATTGGCTGTGGATTGCCATTCCCAATAGGGATGTGAACAGGTAACCAGTTAACTTGTTACCCAGGAAGCATCACTCTTAATGGTTACCAGGTAATGGTTTACTGTTACTCAGGAACAGCCCCATGCTGGCTGGGAATTGACAGCCTCGCACTGGGGCAGGGAGGGACGGAAGCGGCAGCAGAGGGGAGCTGCTGGTTCCCAGCCTATGAACCCTCTCGGGCTGGGAGCCAGCAGCCCTTCCCCTCCTTAACTACTGCTTCTGCTCAGTATGAGCCTGTTGACTCCCAGCACCCCGACCTGCCCGTTTAACTGGTTAACATTTAATTGGTTAAGTAATTAAATGGGATTTTACATCTCTCATTCCCAACCAATGGAAGTTGTGGAAAGTGGTGTTCCAGTCCACGCTGCTTCCCATAGCTGGAAGGTGCTAAGATAGTGGGCAATATAAGGACCTGTTTCAGCCAGAACAGACTCTGATCTTTGCACTTATGGCCAGATCTCAGCAATGGAAAACTGGTGCAGCTGCAGCTGTGACCAGCTCTGGGTGGGCACATGAGAGCTGTGTAAGGGATCTCTGGAGCATGAGGATGCAAAGCTTTCAGGTGCAGGAGACACATCAGCATCCAAAGCTGAAGAGCAGTGGAAACTGGTACCCAGTCTAAGTCAGGACAGTCAACAGGCCCCTGCACATTGCTCACCTAGCCAAGCCAAACATAGATTCAGAGACTTGGTGGCCTGATGCAGCACTGCATTCATAAAACAAGAGCTCGTACTCCTGGAAGACACAAGAGAGCACATGCAAAAGTACTTTCCTTCCAGAACTGTCGATTCAAGTCATAGATTGACTCTATTTAAACAGGTCAGATGTATGTGGTGTGATTTTTCCCAGCTAATCATTAAGGATGGGCGATGGAACAATGATATTATAACCGATCATTTAAATCAGCTGCTTTACCAATAAATTGGAGTGTAGCTAATGTGAGAACAATTTTTTAAAAGGGCTCCAGAGGTGATTCCAGCAGTTATAGGCCAGCAAACCTAACTTTAGTACCAAGCAAACTGGTTGAAACTAGTGAAGAACTGAATTGTCAGACACATGGATGAACATAATTTGTTGAGGAAAAGTCAACATGGTTTCTGTAAAGGGAAATCATGCCTTACCAATCTACTAGAGTTCTTTGAGGGGATCAATAAGCATATGGACAAGGGGGATTTAGTGGATTTTAAATTTCCAAAAGCCTTTGACAAGGTCCCTCACCAAAGGCCCTTAAGCAAAGTAAGCTGTCAAGAGATGCCAACTGGTTCAGAAGCAGTAGCCACTATAGTGACAACTGCTGTAGAAAATTAGCCAAACTCAACCAGTAAAATAGTCACATTGTTCAAGTCAACTAGCAACACTCAACCAGCCAAATAGCCACATGTGGCTAGTGGCTAGCGTGTTGAACACCATAAGAGAGGGAAGGTCCTCTCCTACCCCTGCCCCCTATGCTAGCCCCAGCTCCCCATGGCTAGAACTAACATGGTTAACCCTCTGAGACTGGACAGTTAGGAAGTTTTCCTATTGTTCAACCTAAACCTCACTTGCTGCAATTGGACCTATTCCTTTTGACCTATCCTCTGAGGTTATGGGGAATCATTTTTCTCCCTACTCCATGTAACATGCAAAGCATCTTTGAAAAGGCATGAATCACTAATTGATTTAGGTTTGTATTATTTCCATAGTGCTGGAGAGATGCCTGGCACATTACGGTGCAGGCAGGCTCAAACCTTCAAAGACATGCCAGCAGCTAACTATCATTGAAATCAACGGGAATTATGCACCAAAAATACCTTTGAAGTTCCAGGTCAGAGTCCATTCCTCCAAAACGGTACAGCCTGAGACTCTGACCTTGTCAGCTGTTATGCTGGGGCTCTTTGCTTACTGGATCACGGTCTTAGGCCTTGTCTCCACTTACTGAGAGATCGATCATCCAGGATTTGATTTAGCTGGTCTGGTAAGGACTAGGGATGTTAAATATGGGGTAACTGAATAGTTGATTAACCTCATGAATTCTAATTGGTTACTTGACTATTCTGTAATCCCCAGGGGCGGGGCCAGCAGCCATTGGGCTCTGGCCCCACTCCTGAGGAGCCCCTGCCACTCTGTGCTGCTGCCTGTGATACAGAGGCAACTGGGCAGGGTGCCAGGTGGGAGCTGGTCCACTAGGAGAGTCAGTTTAAAAACCAGCTCCCCTTGCGGGTCGGCTGCCTGTTGCCCCATGCTGTTGCCTCTGAAACAGAGGCAGCAGTGCGGGGTGGCAGCACCACTTGTCCAGGGTGGGTCTGAGCTCCCAAACCTGGCACGAGCTGGAACTGAGCTGGGCTGCCTGTCCCCTAATATGTGTTAAATGCAGAGCTGTAGCAGGGGTATGTCCCAGACCTGATGCAAGCCAGGACTGAGCCAGGCTGCTGGCCAGCCTGCTAAAAAAATGTGCTGACAAAGGAGGTGGTGGGGGGGGGGGGGGGGGGGGAGGTGTAGCATTAACCTATAAGCTTTTGCTTATTGGTTAATCGACTATGCTATATTAAGGTATATCGACTATATTAAGGACCCGATAAATCAATACATTGACTGCTGATTGTGCCCCCTTCAACTCTGATACTCCACAGGTTTGTGAGAAGTAAGGGAAGTTGATGGGGAGAGTTTCTCCCATCAACCTCCCACAGTGGGGATGCTGCAAAAATTCGAACCAAGATACGTTGGCTTCAGCTACACCATTCACATACCTGAAGTTGCCTGTCTTAGTTTGACTTTGTCCCCTAGAATAGATCTGGCCTTTGTTAAAACAAGGCAAGCAGAAGCACACAAAAACACAAGGAATGGGAGGGTGTAAGACAATATGATACTGTGGTTGTGTCCTGGCAATTTATGACCAGCTGATCAATCACGGGTTTTCTTCTTTGCCTCAGGTCCTCAGCTCCCAAGCCAATCATTAATGGAAGGAAACACTCATCCTGTCGGTTATCATGGCTTAATTGTAGTCTTGGACTTGCTTTTTTCTTCTAAACCTCCCTTCCCCAGCTAAGGATGGTGAGAGAATTTAAAGTGATGGGGAAACAGCAATATATCTGTGCACATACCTTAGCCAAGTGTTCGCCCTCTTCAGTTGATACCTGTCTTTCTGCACCACAGTCTGTTTTGTTACCAAGTAGAAGGATGACAATTCCATCTCCTGCTCCTTCCTATGAAGCAGGACAGTCGGGGTGAAATCCAGGTCCCAGTGAAGTCAATGGAAGTTTGATTACAATGGGATCTGCATATCTTCAAATCATAACCATACACAGCTTCTAGACACCTTCGGACAAAGCCTAGAGAAGTCCCGCTGACCTGCATGAATTTGTCCATTGGGGTTTGAGTTTCCTTGATAACTAAAGTCACACAGTTTAAAGAGAGAAGGGTCTGTTGGATCATCTAGTGTCAGGCCATAGAATTTGCCCCAGTTATCCCTGTATGGAGCCCTGTAACTTGTGCTGGACTAAATTACCTCTTCCAGAAAAGCATCTGGCCTGGATTTGAAGCCATGAGGAAATGGAAAATCTGCCACTTCCTTTGGAAGCTTGTTGCAATAGTTAATCGCTGACCCCACAGCAGGTTGAAAAATGAATTAAAATGTTTTCATAAAAATGACACCATTTCCATTCTCAGGGGGTCGGAACTGGCTCGTGGTCTGTCCAGATTCACTCTAGCTAAGGTTCTGGCCCTGTGTGTAATGCATCCATGAGTTCTAGTGCTGCACTGACTTATTGTGCAGTCCGGGGCAAATCACTTTACCTCTCTGGGTCGGATCAGTACCCCAGGGATAATAATACCTACTTGTTAGGGGAGCAATGAGTCTCCCTTCATTCCTATTTGGAAGGGGCAGGTTGAACCTCTCTTAAGAGTTATAGGGTGGAAGCCTGGCTCTGTTGATGTCACTGGAAACCTTGACATTGCCTTCGCTGGAACCAGGATTTTACCTGTCACACCCACCTGGATGCAAGTCAGCCAGTACCGCACGTCTGCGAAGGAGTATGCTGAAGTGACATCATACATCAACACCACTCCGTCCGCTTTTCGGAAGAACTGCTTGGTGACGCTGTGGTACCTGTCAAAACGCACTTTTGCTTTTCACACTTACATACATACTCGTTTTGCACCATTTTTAACAGTAATCCAGAGGTTAAAAATCCACTACATATAAAGCATGTTTCAGGTAAGGGTTGTGCAAAATCATGTAACAAAACTGAAAATTCAGATATGCAAAAATGTGCACATATTTCCTTCTGCAAGGGTATGATGCAATGACACCATTTTGCAGTGTTTGAGAAACAAGTGAAACTGGGGGAGAAGGCAGGGTTTTTGCAAAGCTTCACCAGAGCTAAATTGCAAAATGGATTACAGTTTTGCAGTTTTAACTGTGTGTGCATATGTTTATATATAGATCACAGATGAGTGTAGTTATGTATGTGTGTATGCATACACATACAGAGTAAATACACACAAGATAATGTGTGTATACCCTCTACACACAGAGGATAAGTGTGTGTGCGTGTGCACGTACTTGTAAATGTACACACAGTATGTAGTGTGTGTGTATTTACTCTCTATGTACACACACACACACACACACGATAAACATGCATATGCCTAGTAGTAAATACACACTCAGACGTCTTGTCTGAGCATATATTTGTGGATGTTCTTATCCAAAGAGATATTTCCTGGCCTGTATGTATTCTTCTTAGTATGTGCACCATTATCTTACCTCTCCTGGCCAGCTGTGTCCCACAGGCGTAGAGCAAAGCACTTGTTGTCCACAAAAAGGTTTTTGACTCGATAATCCACTCCTAGAGGACACAGCACATTTGTAATAGGGATGTTAAAAAGCGGTTAACTAGGTAACTGTTAAAAATCTTAGAGTACATCTACACTAGCCCCCTAGATCGATCTAGGGAGGCTAATGAGGGCGACCAGAATTGCAAATCAAGCCTGGGATTTAAATATCCTGTGCTTGATTTGCATATTCCTCCTGCAATGAGGTTTACCAGCTAATTCGAATTAGGGCTTTAAATCGGAATCCTGTTTCACTGCCGTGTGTAGACGCGGGCAGTTACTTCGGGCTAGTCAATTTCTAAAATGGCGACCGGCTGGGAACATGCAAATCAAGCACGGGATATTTAAATCCCAGGCTTGATTTGCAATTCTGGTCGCCCTCATTAGCCTCCCTAGATCGATCTTAGGGGGCTAGTGTAGACGTACCCTTAGTGGTTACAAGCTGCGGGCTTTTACTGCAGAGCCTGCCATGCAGGGTAACAGCTGGCTCCCCAGCTATTAAAGGGACTCCCAACACATACTGGCTCCCGCCTGCTGGTTCCACTCTCAGGGAACTGGCTGCCGCCTTGTACTGTTGCCTCTGATACAGAACCAGCAGCGTGGGGTGGCAGCCGGCTTCCCAGGAGTGGGGCCGGGAACCAGCATGTAACCGTTACGGTAACCAATAACACTGTTACACTGTTACATCCTACTTTGTAATGTAGTAGAATTCAACCATAAGATATGGCCGTGGGGCAGGAATGGTAGGATGACATTCTGTGGCCAGACGAGATGATCACAATAGTCTCTTCTCAGTTCAAAATCCCAGAATTGTAGCTGGGTTTTTAAAAGGTCTGGTTAGTTTTATGATGACTAATAAGAGCAGCAGTTGGGCATGATAAGATGGGGTAATGAAATCGCCTGCTTCTGCCAACCAGTGCATGCACCAGGGAGAATTTCTTCTCCAGCTCCCCTGTACAGCACAGAATCATGGGCCATGGACCTTCTTTAATGTTTATCTCTAATCCTGCTATCGGCTCCACACTGCCAGCCCCTTGCTGCTGCAGAATCCCAGCAAGGTCAGGGGGGGCTCACACACAAATCAGACTGCAGGATTGGGGCCTGGAGTTAGTAACATGTGCACACCCCAGCTCAAGGTGTGTCTGTGTGGGAGAGGGGAGTATGTCTCTCATCTTTCTTTCGAGGCCAGAGGCTGGACTGACTCCATCATTGGTTTGATTTGGCAGGGCATGTCCTGTGTCCCTACAGGACTGATTTTATGCTTCATGGAAGCTGTGGGATTCTTACCTACAGTGGCAGTGAGGTTTGGGTTGAAGGAATCCTCATGTAATCGGTACAGAAAGGACGTTTTGCCAACGTTCGAGTCTCCCACAAACAACACGTTATAAAGATGGTCTGGATCAGGGCTGATCTCAGCTCTGCCTGGCTGCTCTGGTGTCACATTAGCTTGGTACTGTTGGCCCCCTGATTTGGGGACTGCGTCCTTGCTCGCTTTCACGCTGCTCTCTTCCTTCTCCTCCCATTGACAAATAGCTGTGTCTCCTCGTGATCCCTCTGCCTGTATCACTTCTGGCTTCCCAGTGCTTTGCAGCTGTGTCTTGGCCTGGGTCCGAACCCCCAGCTGACTAGCTCCGAGAAGGGCTTCCCCTCCTTCATTTTCTATACCTTCCTCCTGCAGGGCTCCCACATAAGGGAGATAAGTTGGTGTGGTCTCCTCTCTCAGTGTCTCACTCTGCTCAAATGTCTTCTCTGGTACTTTCATTTCTGGAGCCTTTTCCTCCAGCTGCCTCTGCTCCGAAGCAGCAAACAGCCACATGTCTGCCAGGAGCACGTCTCTCGTCATTGATCCCCACTTCTGAATTTCATCTGGCACTGTCTGCTCTGAAACACCAGGCTGCCAGCCATCCGGCTGGAGAATGCCTCCCTTGGGTGGGCTCTTCTTGTGAAAGGCGATTTGCATTGTGGGCTTGGAAGCAGTGGTACAAAGAGGATCTCTTGGCCTTAGTTGTTGAGTCTCGTCATGTGTTGCTGGCTCCGAAGCCCCAGGCTGCTTTCCCTCCTGAGCACAAGATTCTGCTTGAGTTAGTCCCTGTTTCAGAGTCTCTCCTTGTGATGGAGCCTGATTGGGGGACAGGTCTGAAAGTGTGTTAGGCAGGGCCTTCGGTTCATTGTCATTTCCTGAGAGCACCTGGTGCTCGGACTCTCTGACCCGCTTGAGCCTTTGCTCGGAATCTCTGCCTTTTCCAGCTGAGGGCACAGATGCATCCCCTTGCGGTAGATCATCCATCTGCGGTATGTGTGGGTCAGACCCCTTGTGCAGAGCTGCTATTGCATCGTTCAGTTCCCTGAGCAGTGAGCTTTGGCTTGAAAGTTCCTGCTGGAAGAATGAGTCTCCCTCTTTCATAAACTCTGGGAAGGGATCTTCCTCTATGGAGATTACTCTTGTCCTCTGTCCTGGATCAGCTTCAGGAGCAACCGAAACACTGCATGGTGCCCTGCAAAGTGATGTACAGTTACATGTGTTGTATACAGGAGAGCAAATCGGAACACAACGAGACACCAGTGCCATGCAACACGTCAGAGCGCAGGGACGCCGTGCAGCAACGAAAGTCATTGCACTGGGTTTGAGGGATTATTGTCTAGCCCCTTGCATGCTGGGTGAGGTTAAAAGAGTTGATGGCCCAACCCACTGATAGAGAAGATAAAACGTGGTGAGGGCTTGATGCAAAGGTAAAGCCGCAAAAGGGGATGATCCCGGGATGATAGCCTGAAATACCTAAGCTTTGTAATGGATGCAGATTGGCAGAGAGATGGCTAGATAGGTAAGGAAGTGCATTCAACAATGCCCTTTGCTGATGGTTAGTGGGGGTAGGACCTGTGGTCTTTAGCACCACTTCTCAGGCCTCTACCACTGGGGCTAAAGTGTAAACCAGTTGTCCCGTGGCAGCAGTAGGATGTTATCCTCTCTCTGGCCTAGCCACTGGAAAGGGGCACTGTTCACTTAGCCATCATGTTACAGACAATCACCCTTCTGTCTCCCTGGAGATGGAGCACAAAATGCCCCTCCATTGCTGCTCAGGGTATAAGATACACCGGGTAGCCTGCTCCCTCACGCCATGTGTTAGGTACAACACAGTGTCCCGCTGGGCTTCCAGAACCTCAGCACCTGGGAGGAACATGGTGGCTGCCCTGGAGCAGGATGAAAGTACCACCAAAGGGCAATCTTCATTCTTTTGATCCTGCCTTATATAAACAAGTCAGCCACATCGGTGTCACTTACAGCTGACGGGAGCTGTCTGATGTATCGCCACTCTGCTGGGATGCAAGTCTAATCTGTCTTTCAGAGCAGGACGTTTCATCCTTGTTCAACGAATCCTTAAATAACCCAGGGGAAAGGGAGAGGAAAAAAGTCAGTGAGAACTTAAAAGGAAAAATAGCTTCCCTTTCGCTGCAGTGCAAACTCTCTTATCCCCTCCCTCTGTTATGAATGGGCCTTCTAAAAATACTGTTATGCCATCCATCTCCAAGTGCTTTACAGTGGACAGTAGTATCATCCACATTCAACTGATGGGGAAACTGAGGCCCGGTGAGGGGGAAGCAACTTGCTCAGAACCATGCAGCCTGTCAGAGGTAGTCGCAGTTCATGATCCAATCCCCTGGACTGCACCAACTCCCTTTATGGGCCTGTTCGCACTGCAGCTGGGAGTGAGTCTTGTGTAGGCAGGGACTGTGCTAAAAAGACAAGTGTAGACATTGCTTTGGTCTAGCAACTCAGGCCCTTAAATCTGGGATGTGGGGTGGGGTGGGATTGAACGCCGGGGCTACAATGTCAGAGCCGTGTACATATAGAGAGACTCCATGAGATACAGTCCCCTTTGAGCACTGGCAGACAGTGCTGCATCCCACCAGGCTTTGCTAAAGCAGTGCCTCCTGGGGTACCACGGCCACTGGAGCTGGTCAGGGTGAGCGCCACCGTGTGAGGCGGCAGGCAAGGGCAGTGCTATGGGGAGCAGATGGGGCTAACTGTCTAGCCCCCTAAACTGTAGCATGAAACCAGGATCCGTTTTCCCTCTGAACCAATGAGATACCTGGGAAGGCAGAGGGAGCTCCTGCGTTGCCTCAGCCAATGGCCTGTCGCTGCAAATAGAAAGAGCTTACAATGCACCATTCCTGCGCCTGAGCCTTTCCACCTCCTGATGTTTCTGTGCTATGGTTCCTCGAGCACAGGGCACTGCTCCCCACATTGGTTACAGTGCTGATCCCGGAACGGGACAGTGGGTGCAGGCAGGGCAGGCGAGATCGGAGATGTGAGGCTTATGGCGCCAGGCTGCAGAAAGGCAGGGGGTGCATTTATGAAGGGCGGCTATTATGTTGAAGGCATTACATGCATTCAGGCTGATGAGAGGGGACAGCCCTGGAGGCTGATGTGCTCTATCCCCAGGGCAGGTATAGTCCAGGCAGCTGCTGGACAAGCTTCTCCCCCACACACTGGCTCCTGCCTCAATTTCTCTGCTGACAGTGTCGCACAGGCAAGCCATTAGTTGTGTGATGATGGTGACACCGAGGGCTTATGTAGCACTTTTTGCCCACACAGCTTAGTTTTATGGAGGAGATCAGTACCACTATATCCACTTAACAGACGGGTAAACTGAGGCGGGATGAAGTGACTTGCCCAAGGCCACCTAGCAAACCTGTGACAGAGCCAGGAAGAGAACCTAGGGCCCAGAGTCCCAAACAAGAGCATTAGCCACTATGAAACACTGCCTTCCTGATGCTGTAGAGACCCACAAACTTTTTTTCTCGTGAGTCCCCTTTAGGTGGCAGTGGCTCTCATTCAAACAGAAGGGAATTCAAGCCACTCCTGCACTGTGAGAGCCTTCTGAGGAGGGAATGGACGTCTGCTTAGCTACAGAATAGGCTACTTTTCTGCTGTTGTGTGTCCCATAAGGAACAGTAAGAGTACTTACCTCTGCTCCTCACTGTGCAGCCAAGATACCTTGCCCCTCATAGCACCCAGATGCCCTTGGGTCTCTTGCAGCTGTATGTGGATTTGCTGCAGCTGGTTCTCCAGGTCCTGGTTGTTTTGTTTCAGCCTCTGGTTCTCGGTGGCGGCAGCAAACTGCTTGGTGCTTAGGCTGTGGAACTGGGTCTCAAGCTTGGAGGAGAGAAGAGGGGGCAAATTCAGGCACCTGAAAAGGTGCCAGCTGGAGGGTGTTGGAATTGCCAGCTGCACCCGTGGAGACCTGTTAATAATGAATTGAGGAATCCCAGGACCCAAACTCCCCACTGGCGTAAACTGGCACGCAGCACAATGCACCTGTCTCCATTGCAGAAAATGTGTCCCCACCTGTTTGAAACAGGGCTTGAAGCTGGGTCTCAGACTAAAGCCACATTCTCTCCTCTCCCAGGAGGCAATGCTTGGCAGAATCGTCTCAGAGGGGCATCTGTATCAGCCTGTCACTTTAAAAACAACAAATGGTCCTGTGGCATCTTAGAGACTAACAGATATGGACTCATCCACTTTTGTGGGCAAAACCTACTTCCTCACCCATGAAAACTCAGGATTCTATATATTTTTGTAAGTCTCTATGGTGCCCCAAGACTGCTCGTTGTTTTTCTAGAATTGGTGAGGATGAGTGTTGTGGCCTGGTTGTTAGTAACAGTGTGGAACGTCTTAGCCTCCTGGTAGTAGACCTGACTCTGCAGGGGGTAACGGTGCAATGAATGGGCAAGTTTCCCCAGGGATCTGCATTGCAGACCTTTGCCACGTGGTTCTGTGAGCGGAATTGCCACGGGCATCAAGGGGGCTAAGTGCAACAGAGATCTGCATTGCTAGGCCAGGCCCAGTGCATTCAGCATCACACCAGGGACCTTGTGCCAAAGCACGTGTGCTACATTTAGAAGCACAGCTATGTGCCTTTGCCCAGGCATGCTGGAACACTCAGCATTGCCTTGACTGCATCCTCCTCGGGCCACGGCACCTCTCACCTCGCTTTGAGCCAAGAGTACGCGCTGCACTTCACTGTCCACAATGTCTAGTGCTCTCTGCATCTCCGTGGTGTGCAGGTGAGTCCTGGCTTTACTCTGGAATCACAGAGGCGATGTTAATGCCTGTCTCTTTAATGGCCCATCCACTCAAGGACAATTCTTTGATGCGGAGTAACAAATCCTCTTTTATGGCACAGAGCAATCCCCTGATTTTGCAGGGCTGCTGAGCACAATTTCACCCTGTACCTTCAGGGGCCCCAGATGTAGCTCAGAGGGTCTGAGCCACAATCTTAAGCTGAAAGTTAAATATGGTTTCTAAGCCGACCCTTGCAGGGGTACCGGCAATGCGGATCAACCTGAGATCACTGGAACTAAATGTACGAGCGTCTATGACATGAACTGCTAAAAGTTAGCTCGGCTGCCCCCTGAACTTTCAGATACATGTTACTTAGCCATGGTTGTCAGAGGCTCATCCTTTGCTGAGCCTGGGGGTCTCGCTGCCACTAGAGGGGGACAGAGTGCTCTGCTGAGCAAACCCAGCCTGTGGCCATCAAACTTTTTTTTTTTCTGTTGACCTCTTGAAAACAGCTGAGGGTCTCTGCGGACCACTTAAAAATCTTTCCAAATATTCTTGGATATGGACTTCTAATATTCTGGTCATCTGAAGAAGTGGGCTGTGCCCACAAAAGCTCATGATACCATCTACATGTTTTGTTAGCCTTTAAAGTGCTGCACAACTATTAGTTGTTTTTAAAGTTTTTCCAGTTATAGACTAATTCGGCTACCCCTCTGAAACTTTCCAAATGTTGTTTGTGCCCTTAGCTACCTATTGTAAAGTGCTTTGGATAAAAGCACTTTTATAAAACTGAATATTAATTAACATTTATTGTGCTGCAAATAAAAGCACACAGCTTATATTTTAATATCCATAGGGGTCTCTCCCCCACCACAGCAACTGCAAAGCTAGGGAAGGTTGCCTCTTTCTCGGGCCGCCATAGACCTGCACATCCCAAATACTCCCCACCCACTCTTTTCACCCTACTACCCCCACCTACCTCCCATTTCCACCATTTCACCCCACTGCCCCCTCTCGCCATTTACTGCACACACACAACCCAAGCCACCACCTCACGTTACATGTGCATCTTCTCCAGGATTCAGGAACCCAGTTAGTGGAGCCACACCTGTGAGCCACTAATTAAGTGGGCAGCCCTTCATTTTCTTGTGTGGCCACCCAGGCATGCACCTTAGAGGGAATTATCTGCGGACCACCTGAATGGCGCTTGCAGACCATGGCTGGCTGTGGGCCACAGTTTGAGAACATCTGTCTTAGAGCCCCTAGGCAGTTTGGTGACAGTGCAACCCGGTGACAGCTTGGAGACCCAGACAGAGTGGCTCTAGGTGACTGGCTGGCCACGTGATTGCAGAGGAACTTTAACATTGAGAATGACTAACGGGTACATCTGGGGGAGGGGTCCGACCACACAGCAGAAATGGTATGGTGTGTGTTTCAGAGCCAGCTCAGAGGGTCTGGGAGATGGTGCTAGTGGAGCACGTGCCTGAAAACTGAGCAGGGAAGAGGAAGGGTGCTCTGGTGATGGCAGCATATGACCAAGGTGTAGGAGATCTAAGTTCAGTTCCAGGCTTGGCCACAGGCTCCCAATCTGACTTGGGCAAGCTACTTGATCTCCCTGGCACTCCGTCCCCCCCACCCTCAGTAAAAAGGATGTGATGTCACTTCCTTTCTCCAGTCTCTTTAGCCTGGAAGCTTTTCAGGACCAGAACTGCTTTATAATGTGTTTGTACAGCACCTGCCTCAGCTCTCCCCTGGGACCCTAGCGCTATGTCTAGACTGCAGGCTTCTTTTGGAAGAAGCTTTTCTGGAAGAAATGTTCTGAAAAAACTTCTTCTGAAAGATCCTCTACAGGGCAAAAGTGCATTGAAAAAGCGATCTGCTTTTCAAAAGATAGCGTCCACACTGAATGGACGCTATCTCGCATTTAAGCTGTGATGACTGTGGACTGAGTGGCCAACAGGGCACCTGTGCTTTTTCCTCTTTCCTCTTCTTCCGGAAGAACTCCCTCTTCCCTATCCACACACACCTTTTTCCGAAAGGGGCCTTTCTCACAAAGGCTTCTTCCTCGTAGAAAGAGTTTATCCAATGTCGGAAAAAACCCTCTGCCCTTTTGATTTTTTTTTCCAAAAGAACGCGACTGCAGTGTGGACATAAGTGAAGTTTTTTCAGAAAAACGGAACTCTGTAGTGTAGACATACCTGAGGAGCTTCTGGGCTATAAATAACAACCACTGGCCACTTAGCTGGTGCATGTTCCATGCAATGACTAGAAGAGACGAGGGAAGAATATCCTGAACCTTTATGTTCTTACTCTCCTCCCAGAACGCTCTTAAAAAGGACACCCAGGGTAAGATGTGTGACTGCACAAAGGTTTTCTTGGAGTGCCAACAAACTGAGTTGTCCCTCTTTCTTCAGGATTGCCTGTGGGCTGCTTCTGAGCAACACATCTAATCCCTTGCTCCGTCCCTAATTACCATAACCATGTGTAAGGGAGGAGTTCCTTTTATCAGTAGGTTGCCCTCCATTTTGAACTCAGATAGTCTGCGGCCAGGGAGGAAACAGGAATGTTTGCAAAGAAAGGTAGCAGGTAAAAACCAAAGTCCAGTGAGGAATAAAAGGCAAATGTGGGTTTAATTCCGTGGTCCCCAACACGGTGCCCGCGGGCGCCATGGCGCCCGCGGGGGCATTTCAATGCGCCCGCCAGGTGCTCGGGGCTGGCCTGGCCCCAGGCACATGGTACATGGGCGCTTGCGGGGGGAGCGCCGGGCGTGCGGCACTCGGCGGGGGGAGGGGGAG